ATCACATAATCATATAGTGAAATCTCTCACTATGTATAGATAATTTTGTTTTTTGCTTGTTCTTGAAAAAGCTAAATTCTCTTTAAATATAATGACGTTACGTTAACCTGTGTTGAATTGGTTCCATTTCTATATTATACCAAGGACACCTTGATTAGAGTTGTAAAAGTATTAAGCAGTTGTTTGTGTGTCAGCAAACCTGTGGCCAGAGGTGTACATGCTGACCTGCTGTCTCTCAGTGTGCACCCCCATTTCTTCCATAAATGAACCTTCCATCAAACACACAAAGTGAGCTAAACCGCTGTTAGACGCTGCCGGGAACGATCCCCTCGGGCGGTCATTTCCCAGGGTCAGATGCTGCCCTCTTCTATATTAGACATGTTGACTGGGCAGACTGCCTGCTATGAGGGAAAACAAGGGCACCAAGTTCAGCTCATAGTAGTCAGTGAGCTCACAGCACGGCTGCACTCTGAGCTGGTCAGACATGGTGGGAAAGGAGCAGAAGTGCCACAGGAGTGTTGATAGGTGTCTTCATTTCATAAAGTGATGCAAATTCGACAGAGTACACAGGCTGTTGACAAGGGCTCTATTCGCTCAGCAGTAGGGCTCTTTAGAGAATTGTGTATCTCCAGCGCTAAGCCAGCATTTCACTGAGCCAATAGTAGAATGGTACAAAGATCATGGACAACTAATACACAGGGGGACCTTCTAGGTCTTCAGAAAATACATAATGATTTCTGGGAACTAAAATATGCATGTCTGTGACTTTAATTCGATTTTTATTCAATACAATCACGCTTGTATTTAAACTCTGCAAGTATTACAGCACTACTCCTGATTCATTGTTAAGATCTGGATGGATACAAAAGGGTTAAATTCTTTAAACAGTGAGCAGGAAAATCAGCCAATCAGCAATTGTATTCTCTGTGCTGTCTAGGTAGATTATAGCTAAGCAAGCTCTCCTATTGGTCAGGACCTCAAGAGCTGAAGAGATTAACTCTCAGCATAATTACGAAGTGACAGAGGAATCAACTAATCAGGTTTAAATTTCCAATAGATGGGACCAAATTTGTGAGAAAAAGGTCTCTTTCAGCTCTCTGGGAGTTCTAGATGCGTCACTGACTGCGAACATGAATGGCAGTCTAAACAGTGGGTTGTAAAAAGTAAAATAGCATCAGCAGCTCTACACTGGCCTCTCTTCTGAAAGACTAACTGTGAAGCTGCTAAAAGGTAAAATATATGCTAATATGTCTGTCACAAGCTTCAAGTGAAACATGGAGTGTCTAGAACGTCCATAAAAAGTTTATGCAAATCGCAGTTAGCTTAGCACTAACCTACTACTAGAATCCCATAGAGACACTAGCAGTTATTATCATTATTGTAGAGGTGGGTTTTTTCATGTTTTGACTGGGTTCTGACATTTACTGCTCATATTGAAGGCCTATGTCTTATTAGATATTAACTCTAGTTCTTTGTCTAAATTTGTACCTGAAGCTGGTATAACCAAAAATTAAAAAACTGAAGAAATCTGCACTCATGGAAGTCAGCCCAGCAAGAGTCTAGAAAGTGTTTGTTCTTTTCCACTTTGTTTAAATGTCCATCTCTTTACTGGAATTTGATGCATCAGAAATTACTACTTTTTAGACACATTTCTAAGTCAGCCCAGGGTTTCCTGTTTCATCACATGGTAAAAGCAAACAACAGCCAGGCCCTGAGAACCAGTGGCCTATGCCTGCATGTGGCATGTCTGTCCATTCACGGTCACACAGGAAGTGAGTCTGACAAGAGTGGCAGGAATGCTGAGCGTTCCCGTCCTCAGCCTGGCCTGAACATATAAGGACAAACAACTTCCAGCCCTTTAGCGTCATTTTTTTATCCCAGCCAATTTCAGCATAAATGCCAGTTTGATTTGGAGCGATTGAAAAGGTCACAATAAAAACAACAGCATTAGCCTCTGTGCTGTCAGCTTCATATGACTTGATGTATGATACGTATATTCCCTCACAGGAGCAGAGAACAGCAAATGGTTTTTCCTAATGGTTTTACTCACTGCCTTCAAAGGAGCTTTAATGTCAACTAAGGTCATGCAGTTCACCATGACACTTAAAAGTTAAAGGACTGGTTTGGCCAAAAAACAAAACAAAACAAACAAAACAGATTCCCATTTTTTTCCATTACAGATTACTGATTACCTGTTAAAAATGTAACTGTAACCTAATGCAAAGGATTACTATATTAGATTAATGTAATCTGATTACTCTCCATTACTTCTAGATTTCTTATGTTAAATTAAAGGTGCTTAATCAAATAAAGAATGAGAAAAATAATTTCAACAAGGCTTTTTTAACAACAATTTAACTGAATACCTGCCTCACACAAAACTGCACTGGTTTATGAAACAGCATGATAGATCATATAAAATAAGAATATAGGTGCCTTAAATATTGAGCCTTACAGAAACAGTCCCTGAAACAGTCACTTTTAATGAAACAGCCAAACCTAAGATATGAACATTTTTAAAATATAAAGCTGACAGATTACAAATTTGAATAACAGTATAATTTGTTTGAGTTTAGACATGTATACTCAAACCTTGAAGTTCAGAAATCAAGCTTTGAAAACCAGGAAAAAATTTGAAAATCAGTACTCTGAGACTAAAACACAGGGGGAACTGTAATTGGTTTAATGATCCAGTACATTGGATCAAATGCCAAATAGTTAAAAACTATACTGCTCCTGAGACTTTTACTTCTTTGACTTATTTATTACAAATCTGTTTTTCATGCCAAAGTCAGAAGACCAATCTGGTAGATCCCTCATCAACAATAATCCTAAACAAATGCCATCAAACCCCTTCACATCAAACCCCTTTTTACCCTGTTAGGCCATGTGCCTGGTCATATTAAAACAATTATTCTTATAATATCATTTGAAAGACAAAATTGGTTTCCCTGTAATCTTTGATCAAAGTGTACTGATTTTTGTACACCGCTAAAACGTCATTCGGAGTTTTGATTACATCACCACAGAAAAAAACAATAATAACCAGTAATATCATGTTTCATCTGCTTCCTTCCTACCACCCCCAAAACCACTGAGCAAAACACTCAGGATTCATATTGATTTTAATCACAAATGGTATCAGAATCTATCTTACATGAGTCCCTGACTTTAACCATTTCCAACCTCTTTTTGTCTCATACAATTCAACAGGCTGTTTTTGGAACTGTACCTTTTAAGACTGATAAACGTAAACGTCCTCTGCTCTGATTGGCTGTCCTGTATTGTGCCTTCATTAAAGTTCAGTCTGAAATTCTTAGGGACATGAAAAAAAGCTTCAGCCATTCAGATCCTTTAGAAGCCTATGATAGATTTGCTTTACAGCAGCCAGGAACAGGAGCAAATTTTAAATTTTTTCCAATCCAGTAACTCTGCTACAGACTGTCTGCAGTCCTCAGTGTGAATGGGCAGATATGTAAATGTGCTGACAAATTCAAAATCTGTATTTGCAGGTTAGTTTCTATATATTTGCAAAAAACGCTCAGTTTTCCATGACATGGGCTCTTTAAGAGTGAGAAATCCCTCGTCTCAGGAGCAGAAGTCACTGCACAACACATGGAACACATCAAGGGCACACGCACACCTGCGGACACACATCCAGACTCAAGGGACCGCAGCAGTATAGGACACTTTAGTATTCTCTCTATACATAGATACCTGACTGAACTGAGTGATTATAATAGTTTCCCTCAGTCAGTGACAGGCACTTTTAATTCCTGATGCCAGGTAACTTACATGCTCTCATGTAACTCCAGCAGCAATCAATGTGTCCTCCTCCAGTCCCCACAGCAGAGGACTCCCTGCTTTATAATGCATGAAGCCCTGGCACCCCAGAGCACAACCAGAGATACTGAATCCTCCCCTTTAGGCACCATTGCCAGTTATGGTACTCCACACCAGCCCCCAGAGAGCAGTTCACCTACCGCTCCATCACTTACACATCGGCTACGTGACTCTTTTCGCAATGTAAGATACGCACTTTTATAATAATGAGGTTGTCATTGTGAGGTTTGTGAAGAAGCTGGAATGGACAAAAAAGCAATAAAGCAGTGCCTCAAAAAAGCCCACTAGATTTGATTTTAAAAATTTGTTTCCAAGCTTAAATTATCTAAGAAGGAACAGGAAGAAAAACCAAGAAAAAATGAAGTTACAATCAGGACCATAAGTAGGATAAAAAAGGTTTGTGATGTCCATTTTTTCAGAAATGTCATCTGCATTACACAGTCAATAAGTTAACTGCCAGTCACTGCTGCTTGGAGAGTTTCCTCGCTGTTTCCATACTGAATCCCATAAAACTCTTCGGAACTACCGAGGTCCGTACATTGTTCTATGAAAGTCTGTTTCTGCTACATGGAAAAAAGGCCATATAATGTATTAATATTGAGAAAGTATCTCATAATTATGACCTTATATATCATAATAATGACTTATAATAATGAGAAATCTCATAATGAGACATTTTATCGACTTCTCATAATTATGACCTACTATTCCATAACGAGAATAAGTTCTTATAATTACAAAATGCTAAGTCATTGTTATGAGATACTAAGTCATACATAAGTCAAAATTATGAGAAACTTTCTCCATATTATGAGATTTCATTTTTATGAGATACTAAGTCTTAATTATGAAATAATCTCATTATTATGGGATAGCAAGCCATAATTGTGAGATTGTCATAATTATGACTTCTCATTATGATATAGTAGGCTAACATTGTGACATATAATCTTATTATTACAGGAAGTCATTATGAGATAGAAAATCATAATTGTGGAAAACCTTCTCATTATTATGACTTGCTATATATATATATATTCAGTGGCAGAAACAGGCTCCCATACTGTGCTCATGCTAGTTATATGCATGTTTGGTCTAAATCTGTCTTAATGATACATGCACTTCACAAGACTTCATGAATGAATGAAGGAGTAAAGTAAGACTTGAATAAATTTATTTGTGAATTATTTACACAGAGCAGGTGGGTGAGGTTTAAAGACGGTTGCGGTCATTCTGCCATCTTCCTTTCTGAATCTCTGTAGAGCAGATTTCCAATGAGCTTCCGAACAGCAGCAGTGTCAGTGGGGTCTGTCAGATATAGAGACACACAAGATATACATGTTATGTATATACAGTACTATGCAAAAATATCATTTTTCAGGAGATAGTTCTGCTATCATTAAAAGTCATTAAAAAACATTAAAAGCTTGAATGGGAAAACAGAACTCCTGACAATCATGCATGACCTGGCAGACCACCTAAACTGTTACCATCAGATAAACAGCACTTAAAGCTTCTATCTTAGAGAGCTCCACTCTGCTGGTGTTCTCAGAACAATGTGCTGACCACCCCAAAGTCCAGACCTCAGCATCACTGAATGTGTTTGGGATTATTTGGATCATGAGAAGCAGGAAATGCAACCATCTTCTAAAACTGAACTTTGAAGGTTTGGAAAAAAGTCTCTGCAGATTTCTTTGAAAAACTGAAAGCAAGTCTCCTGAAAAGAATGAAATCTATAACAAAGGCAAAGAGCAGATACACTAAAAACTGAAAATTTTGATACTGTATTCAGTTGGTGAGGCTTCTGTCAAATTTTCTGTTAAATACATTTCTGCATATTTTCTAAAGCTGAAAAATAAATAACTTGTATTTGTGTTTTGATAGCGTCTGACTTTGACACAATTTCGATTGCACTTGTGACAAATCATTTATTTGTAGCAACCATTTATGGACAGATTAAGGACATTTAGCTATTGATTTAAACGATCTTACACATATTTTTCCATCACTGCCTTGACGGTAATTATAAGATGAGACAGTCCTGGTTTCTGCCAAAATGTCAAAGTGTGTCATCAGGTGGATCTCTCACCATATCAGTGACAGAAAATCAAGATAGGTAAAAAAGGTAGGAGGCACTGAGCACAATTTTCCTTTAAGCTGTGTATACGTGTGTGCGAGTATGAGTCTTATGAAAGTGTGGAGCGTGGTTTGCGAATAAAGTTTCCAAGCAGACAAAGCACTGATGTAAGTTGCTCTGCATAGGAGCGTCTGCTAAATGGTGTAAATGTAATATAACTGTAAATAAATTCCTATCTACATGTAGTAAGCCTCTATTCTCTCTACTGTCAGAACATACACTGCGATCAGCTATTGTGTCAACTCAGACAGACATTATGTACCAGTAAGTCTAGATAAAACTCACATGAACAATACACTAAACGTTTCACAACCTTTAACTGTTATTAACATTTCAGAAATCCTACAGATTCTATTGAAATGTGCTTGCCATTCCAAAGAAAAGTTACTAGATTAATGAAATATAAACACTGTCAAAGGTGTATGGAAACCTCTTCTAACTAGAGGATTTGGCTATTTTTGCCACATCCACTGCATAAAAGCATAAAATCATGCATACACTTATGCAGTCTGCATAGACAAACACTGGCAGTAGAATGGGTCAACCTGAAGAGCTCAGTGACTTTTAACCTGGCACTGTAATGGGATGTCACCTTTCCAACAAGTCATCTAGTTGAATTTCTGCCCTGCTAGAGCCACCCCGAATGACTGAAAGTGCTATTGTTGTGAGATGGCAACATCTAGGAGAACAAACAACTCAGCCGCAAAGTGGTGGGCTACACAAACTCACAGAACGGGAGCAATTTCAACACTACTACCAAGTTCCAAACTGTTTGTCAGGAACTTAAATCTTTGAGTTTGAGGGTTCCAATATTCACACACAAGCCCAAGATCACCATGCACAATGCTAAGCTTTGGCTGGAGCTGGTATAATTGGACTCTGAAGTAGTGGACATTTCTCCGAGTGAAGAATCACACTTCACCATCTGATAGTCTGAAAGACAGATCTAGGGGTGGTGCATGGAGAATGCTACCTGCCTAAAAGAGCAGTGCCAACTGTAAAGTTTGATGGAGCAGGAATAATGGTCTGGGGCTAATTTTCATCATTTGGGCCCCTTCATTACAGTCTTAGTGTTACAGTGTACCATGACATTTTAGAAAACTGTGCTTCAAAATTTGTGGCAACAGTTTGTAGAAGGCCCTTTCCTGTTTTAAAATGACAACTTCATGCACAAAGCAAGGTCCATAGATAGGTTGGTGTGTTTTGTAGGGAAGAACATAACTGGCCTAAACAGAACCCTCACTTCAACCTTATCCAACACCTTAGGGATGAACCAAACAATTGACTGTAAGACAACCACATCAACTCACTAAGGCTCTTGTGACTGAAGCGAGCCATGCTCCAAAATCTAGTTGAAAACATCTCTCAGAAAACTTGGCAGTAAAGCAGAGAAGTGGGACCTGACTCCATATTAACGTTTTGTAAGGAGATGTTCACATATGGATGTAATGTCCACCTATTTTCGGCCATGTAGTGTACACCTCGGTACTAAGTGATAAACTGTGTGCAGCTTAGGAAAAAGTGATGTCCTGTCTACTTTAGAGAAGCATTCCTTACAAATAATCATGGCAAAAATGTGGTGTAATTAAAAACCGCTATTCTTGCTCACATCAGTGCAAAATTATATTTTTGGAAGGGTTGATAGACACAGAAGTGAAAGGTCTCTCACCGTCTGCCACTGAAAGTGTAAACACTTAGTGTGCTGCTAAATGTGCTCACTGCAAACGAAGCACAGAGAGCGCCTGTTTGGCTCTCATTTGAAATGGGTGGGCAAGGTGTGAAGGAGAACACATTAACAGATATGAGAGAAAAACACCTCAACTAACAAAACATCTACAATCTCACTCACTCATCTCTCTCATAATACTACAGGGAACCTACAAAGCAGATTGAGCTCCTACTCCTTCACCCATTTAGAAAAAAGTGATGCAGTTACACTGCTTATTTCTCACATGGCTGCACTTGATGCGTACACATAAGTTTCAATCAATTGAAATGTCAGCTACAGCAAACTAGCTGTACGAGTAAAACCTGACAACAAAATGCCCATTAGTCCACTGTTATCTTAAAATACAACTAAAGTTATAACATAAAACTTAAAAAATGGAATCTGTGTTGAATGTGTTAAATATTTTTATGTATTACTGTTATGCCCAAAACCTACTAAAACAAGAGTGTCCCTATATCTCAGCACTCAAGAATGTGAGACACCTCCTTGCTGCCCTGTTTCTAAACTCCACCCCTTTCCCCCACTAACCTGTACACGGTCTCTATGTTACAGACCAGAGCATGTGAGCGGTGTAGAGAGGGAGCAGAGTGATGTGATTTTGCTCAGAACATGGATTAACTTTCCAGAAAGTCAAAATATCAATGCTCTCTCTCTCTCACTCTGAAATCGCTCCGGTATTGCTCCATCCTGTGAGCCAGACGGTCCACACTGACTACCCCTGTGTGACATGAGCGATGTGGCAGTGACTGTTACAGATCGCAAACGATGGCCTTTCACACAGCATCTGCCCTGCGGAGCTGTTCAGCAGACCAACATACTGCAAATTATCACTGATCCCAACAAATTTCTGCAAATATTACACAGACGTAGTCTTGTGTCGTCCAGTTGTCCATACATTCAAGACACATAAATAAATATCATAAGAATGGATCATGTGAAGCAGACACGGAGCGGGGTTTTCTCCGACATGAGCGAGGAGCGGGAAATGGAAAACCCGGAGCAGAGCTAGTGTGGGGTGATTACAGAAATGCTTTGATCAAGGAGTGGAAATGTCTACTGCACCACTCAACTCACACACTCTGTTACAGTCTGAGCAGTTTGGCAGAAGCAGAGCAGAAACAAAAATAAGCTCTCACTGTACAGGGGCAAAGCTAGATCTTTCACAGTGGGGTGGCCAGGTTAGAATCAGTGAATTTATTGGGGTGGCAAAAGAAAAAAATAACAGAGTGGTAAATAACATGTGCATATCTTATTGCTATGTTATTAAAAAAAAGCTAAAATTGCAAAGTCATTGCCTGAAAGTAAACTGAGAGACAAAACCGACAATGTAGTTTATTCATTTAGGAAGAAAGTATTTACACATTTGAAACCAATAAATTAAATGCAACACTTTTTCAGTGCATCAATGTTAATATTTTAGGTCACAGAAGTTAATCATTTCAGCAGCCTTTGCTCTGAGGTTGCGCAGTGGAGAGTACTGCACAAGCGATTAATGTAGCCATAATTATGTATAGTTTAACGAAATAGCATTATTGTCTGGTAAACTACATTTTTAAATGCAATTTTACTCTGGACAAACAGGAAACGATTTTAATTTTAAATTAAAACGATTTGAAATTATTGTTGGTATGATTTCTCGTATTGTTTTCACTGCTCAACAGTATTTTATTGGTTGAAATCTTCAGGTGATCCATGTGATCCAATAAATCAAATGTACTGTGCTATATCGATGTAGTTAACTCTTTCCTAACGTAGAAAACCAACATTTGCTGCTCTAGTTCTCACAGGTCTGCTTAGCAGAGCAGTTTATCACAGACAGCTATACTGATAATTTTGAGTGCAGTGCAATAGGTGGTAGGTGGTAACTGTCCTGATGACAGCTTTTCACCATAAGCATAACCAGTCACACGGGGTAGGTAGTACAGTTTTTCTGGTGATTGCTTTATTGATGGCTGACAATCTCTTTGAATAACTGGGGTGGCCAAAGGGGTCAAGCTTTACACTTTGGAGGCATAGCCACCCCTGGCCACCCCTTGGCTATGCCCTGTCACTGTAACATTAATAACCAGAAAGATTCTGTCTTTCTGTCACTCCGGCACCAGTCACTCAAAGTTTACTCGCTCAGATTTGGGTCTCTATTTTCTAAATGTGCCTCAGTGCAGCATCAGTGAACCATAATCGCTGGAGGTTTAGCTTTCTCACTAAGCTAACGTTTACCTCTAGTGCTAATGAGGATATGAATTAAAAGGCTTCAATGAGCCAGAATGTACCTGTGCTGGGGTGAAGTTGTGGCATGCTAAGCTACTGCAGTAGGAGGCTACCTGCCACTAGAACAGCTCTACACCATATTTTACAGCTTGTGTCATAGATTTGAAATAGAAATTTAACACTGTCATAATTTTTTTATTACCAACTTCAATTATCTACGTTAGCTAACTGCTTACTGCACAGTCTAAACATCTCAAACAAGTAAGCTACACTGGCGCAGGCATGTTCTGTAGCTGTACACACATTTCCTGTCACCACGTAGTTATCCTCTCATTAGTATACTTTAGGATGTTTGACCATGACAGGTTCAAGCTCATTCATCACATATCAATTAAGCTGCTACATAGCGCCCAACGCATCACTTTTTTCAGATGTATTGAGAAAGCCTGTGTTTTCAATTGAAAAATGTAAAAACGTGAAATTCAACTCTGTGCAATGGTAACACATTTGATACAAATATCAGTCTGAAAAACTGAAAACCAAAACAAACTCTATCAGAGAGACAGCAGAAACTTTACAAGCAACCAAATCAACAATTTGGTAAATTCTTAAATGGGAAGAGAAGAGTATAGAGAAGGAAAGGAATGGCTCATGATTCAAAGCATATCAGATCATCTGTCAAATATGATGGAGGCAGTGTGATGGCATGTGCATGTATGGCTGCCACTGGAACTGGGTCACCGGTGTTTACTGATGATGTGACTGATAATAGAAGTAGCAGGATGAATTCTTAAGTGTATAGAGCTATATTTTCTGCTCAGATTCAGTCAAATGCTGCAAAAGTGATAGGATGGTGCTTCCGAGTATAGGTGGACATACCGTGACATACTGCGGTACACAACATACCGTAAAGGGAGCACTAGAGCTTCTCAAGGCAAAGAAATGGAATGCTCTTAAATGGTAGAGTCAGTCACCTGACCTCAACCCAGTTGAGCATGCTTTTCACTTACTGAAGACAAACTGAAGGCAGAAAGACCCACAAACCAGCAGCAACTGGAGGCAGCAGCATTAAAGGCCTGGCAAAGCATCTCAAGGGAGGAAACTCAGTATTTGGATATATCCATGGGTTCCATGGGTTAATACTTGGGTTTGCATCCAAGTATTAAAACAATCATTGTATTTATAATTATGTTAGTTTATCCAACTACTTTGAGACTGTGAAAATGTTTTTTTGTTAAACCCTCTGAATTAAAGCTGAAAGTTTACTGCTTCATTTCTAATTCATTGTGCAAAATTACAAAAATTGCGTCACTGTCCAAATAGTTATGGACTTGACCATATATATACACATACATACATACACACACACACACACACACACACACACACACACACACACACACATATATATATATATATATATATGCTCCTTGTTTCTATGATCCCTGTTCATTTTCATTTTGTCAGCTCCTCTTACCATACAGGAGCACTTTCTATAACTACAGACTGTAGTCCATCTGTTTCTCACCCTGTCTTTAGTTGGCCAGGACCCCCAAAGGACCACCACAGAGCAGGTATTATTTGGGTGGTGGATCATTCTCAGTACTGCAGTGGTACTGATATAGTGGTGGTGTGTTAGTGTGTGTTGAATGATTGATGAACCTCCAATAAAGTTAACATGTGAGTCTACATGTTGGACTTTTTTCCCCTCATCAGTTACATGATTAGCTATAGGTTAAACATAGGTTAACTAAAAGCAAAAAACAGGTAAAATATTAAGAAAAAACACTGACTTATCATTAACCTATTAGCTACTTTCTTCTCTTTACTCGCACGTCCACATTCGGTTACAAAACAGGAACAAATACAAGATGTTCCCTGTCCCTTCCTCCATCTCTCTTTCCACCCAGAGGCGTTCAGGCCAGCTGCGTCCCGTGGCAGGCTGAGGTAATCAAGCTCTGACAATCATGTGGAGACTGAATTATTAACAGGAGCCACAGGAGGTGACCCTGAATTTTCATTAAGAAATCTCTACATGTCAGCAGTTACTGAGTGCAAAAAAAAAAAACAACCCCTAATCATAATCAGGCCATTTATACAGAGCTAATTACATTTTGTCCCAAATTATTTTCTGCATGTTTGAATAAACAGTGAAGTGTAGAACACAAGGTAGTTCTGCCCCCCAGATCAACACTGCTCTTTAATTCTCAGGCTGCCCCATACAGGTAGAGACCATCTGGCAGAAACTGAGAGGGGGGAGTATTGAACAGTATGTGGCACACAAAACATATGTGTCTGACAGATATAGGTGATAAACACACTCTATTTATAGCCATAAACAAAACTGTTAGACTGAGTGCTATTAAAATGTTAATGTTTAGAACAGCTGTACAGTATTGTTCACTTACGAGCTGAACTGGTTCTTTAGTCACTTGCTCTGCAATCTCGAAGCAAACCCCTTTTACTAAAAGTGTATCATTCTTGCCCCAAGAACATGAAGCTTCCGGAGCCTGACCTGCTTACTTTTGAAACAGCACAGTCAGACTCAGTTAACAGTGTGGTTTATGGTTCACTATGACGTAACTCATTTACTCATCATTGGCCATGCAAGTTGACCCCAAATGTGGAGAAAATATACTGTGATTCTACTGCTACATATTGCGATTCCGATTTGACTGGTGATTTCTTAAAAACACAAACCTTGATGTCATTTGATGTCATATAGTGTCATAAAAACTAACAATGCAATATGAAACAATAAATCACAATGCAAAAATGTCATTTCTCTTTAAAATGTGATATTTCTTTAAGGTGAACCCAAATAAAGTCGGTATGTGATTCCACATTATGGATGTATTTTCCCCTCCTCAGTTACATATTAACTGTTTTAAAAAAGGTTAAACATCAAATAAAAATGTTGACTTGTGTTATTCCTTATGTTATTCCTTAGCTACATTCTATTAATGACGCCACTTCATGCAATTGTAATACAACTGTTTGAACAACATAGGCCGCACACTTGACCGGCACATTCATCATCAATCAACACTTTACCAGCACCAGGCCTTCCACCTTCCAGCACTAGTCTCTAGGGGTGTAATGATACACAAATTTAATGATCCAATAGGTATTGCTGTACTTGCATCATGAGACATTTTTGATACAGAATTAGAAAAGAATTGCTAACGTGACCTTTACATTTATTTATTGTTTGGTAATTTTTTGTTGAAGGGATAACTGGCAAGTCATTTTCTGCAATATAAGACATAAAATGAACAAATATAACATTAATAAAAGTGCAAAATGTATGTTACATGTTGCACATACGTGTTTGGCAATCACATGTATGATTATAGCTGTGACTGAAATGAGTGAGAGAGGATTTTTTTTTTTAGGGACCTGTGATATCGCAATAGTCTGTATTGTGACAAAGATTTGGGGTATATTGTGCAGCCCTAGACATATTCACATCTACAGACACAAGAGCTTGTAAATTCACGTTTACTCACCAACTCCTAGTTTGTGGAGCAGAGCTGTGTATTCGGGTCTTTCCTCCAGCACTCTCTGCAGACTGGTGGGCTCCATGCGCTCCAGCTCAACCCGCCAGTACACATAGATCTTATGGCTGAAGCTCACATACACAAGGCAAGGGCTATTCCTGCCCTCCTTGCATGCATACTGACCTAAAGAAGAACAGAATACTGAGGCTCAGAATAAGAATTGTAACAATCATCTTGCCAGGTGATGAATTGGTGTTTACAAGAACAAAAAAGGAATGGAAAGCAGCATGTGCTGTGATCCCCCCCGACCCCTCCCCCAGAAAAAAGAAGAATCCTCCAACATCCATGTAGAAGAAAATGTTGTTTAGTCTGAAGACAAAACAAGAACACACAGTGTCACTGTTGTGAAGCATTGCTCTTATGAAGCATCAAAAACTATCTGACTGCTAATGCCACCCCCTTGTGGAAAATTTTCAGCCTGCTAAACGTGAGTGAGGGAGTATGTAAATGAGTGAGTGAGGGAGTTAAAAGTCTGTGATCTCTTGCATAAAATATGCACCCAATGACCGTGTTGAAATTCGAATCTCCAGGCTAGCCCTTATTTGCCTTTATTGATGGCCAACATTTAGCTCAAAAAAAGAAAAAAAAACAAACACATGAATATCCAAATTTCAAAATTAAAAACCGAATACCTATCCAATTAACGAATATCCGAAGAGTCAAACACTCTGGTCCAGCCCTACAGTCTAGGTTGAAACACTCCTCATAACTTCAAAATGAATAGGGAGGGCTAAACATTTGAGTTTGGGTCGAGTTGTATGTCATGACATCACAAAAACAGTGAGTTCAAAATGGGCCATTTTTGCAGTTTAGTTTTCATCAGGGACTGTACGGACTTGGGAGTGAATGGTACATTTTAAAACTAACGATGTGTACATACTACTTCACACTGCTTTATCTATCTGTACATGTAGCATGTACTGTATTGATATAATGGTTAAAAACCTCATATATACTGCTTAAAAAGAGAGAGCTGATCTGGAACCAGCTTTTAATCTTCACTTCTGAATGAACAAAAGTACATGGAAAGTTCATCATAGACCAGCACTTCCTGTGCACATTCACTCAGTACATCAAGGCCCTGAGCTTGACTTTTCTCAAAGAATGTTAAGATGTATTCTGAATACAAGCACCCAGCAGCCAACAGCCACGAACACACTGCCACATTAATTTTAAGTGAGATGAGGATTGGCCTCTACATCTTTTATAAGCTCCAGTGTTTTAGGCCTACCTAGGGAAGAGTGTATGCACACGGATATGCCACGCTGACAGTATTTTATTCTGTTAATGCTAAGCGAAGGCCTAATTATCCATTTGTGAAGCTCAGCAGTCCTGCGAGGATGACAGTGTTTATTAGATGGCAGGGTATGGAATTATGCTGTCACTGATGTGTGCTTTAAAACACAGACTCTTCTCCTATGAGTCCTACATCAATCAGCCAGAGACAGCAGGCCTGAACGGCAATGTGTTCAGCATGTTCCACTGGGATGTGTAAAAAATACCAGCTTTGAGTTTACATGGATTCAGCATGAATACTAATAAGCATTACAGCATCCTGCCTGTGGAAATCTGCCATGTAAATGTGTTGCTTTTATATCTAAACCTGAATTCTGGTTTACGTTATTGGTTTACTGCTCCTGCTTGCTCACAGCCATTTGTTTGATCCCCTTAATGCAACAATTACATAATCTCTCTCCAAGGTGCACTCATTCTTGTGTAATAATGTACTGGACAGAATGGAGGAGAGAATGCAGGACTGAGAGAGGGAGAGAGCTAGTGAAAGAATGAGAGTGAATGTGTGTGAGAGAGGAAGAGAGAGGCAGGCAGGGGGATAAGAAAAATAGGAGGTAAAGACAGAAGACAGTTTATGAAAAAGACTGAGATTCTTCTTCAGCTTTAAGCTCCTACATTGACATCTAGTGGTGACCCACAGGATTTCAACAATGACACTGGCAACAAAAGTAAAATCTGCACAATTCTCCGCTTACCTCAAAGTATTTAATCAGGTCTGATGTCTGAAATTTGCTTCTTTAGTTTTGCACTGGAGCTACAAAGCTAATAAAGCTAATGAAGCTAATGAAAAGTTTATATCACATCAATGAGTATCATGCAAACTGCCTTAATTATCACACATTAACCTAAAGATATCATACTCAAACTACTCAAATGCTCTACTACCCCACAGGAAGAAATACACAACTAACAACATCACAGCACACAACGTGGTCATTTTTAACATGATTGGGTTGAATCCATTATTCTTTCCCTTCTACATCCAATCCAGCATTTTCTGTTGATATCAGATCGCAGATCGGTGCCATCTCCAGTGCCATCTATTACCTACAGAAATGGACAAACATCATCCCATAGCTAATAACAACAGTAGTAACCATCTAAATTTTGTCTGTTCTTTTGTCCATTTGCATAGAAAGCTTGTGGATCCAAAGCAAAACTAAAGAAGCTCCAGGCACCAATGTTTTGGCTGATCAACTATTGCTTTAATTCCCACTAAACGTTTGACAAGTCCACCCGCTCAGGCTGTTTTCATACCTAGTCTGTTTTCTAAAGTCCAAACTAAACCCTTTTAATACCTCAGCACAGCAAAAATAATACCATTCCCATTGCATAATAACTCCAATTATTACTACAGACAAAATGAGTTCATTTCAGAGACGGCATAATGTGACATTCTGGACTGATATTCTTGTTTTGTATTTGGCCTACTTTTTCAAAATGATCATTTTATAGTATGTTTAACTGTTGCAAACTACCCCCTCTTGGGCCTACACGTTAGTGCATTTGGTGAGGTCATATGCTTTTTTCCCCTTTTCCAGCTCCACCTGTTCCTCCACTAGACACAAATACAGATCATTCTTTGGACTATTTAAGACTCCTAAATATACTCCTCTGTTTTTTCCTGTCTGTTTGCAAAGTCTCTGATGTATCTACTGAGTACTGAGTCTTGTTTTTTCTTCGTATTGTTCCCATTTTCACCCTTGCCTTGTCTTTCTGGTTTTCAAATATGGATCCACCTCTTGTGTTAGACTGCCCCTAATAAAGCCATTTTGCACTTGCAAATGACCTACATGCCTTACATTACATTAATATTGACTTATGATCAAATCTGACTGCCTGATCTCGGGTATTTGGCAGTTACTTTAATTTGCAGTTAAATCGTTTAATTTATTTATTAAATACACACATACAATCATATACTCTAAACTGAGAACTTTAGTTTTATTGGACAAAATGTTGTGTGATCCAAAATCAAATGCATTACTTATTATTTTATGGCTGGTTACATTCCCACCAGCAGTGAACTGAACCAGGGTTCTCCTGAAAGCAGACTAGGGCTGGTGGTATTTGGTGGACCATGGTTCTTTTAATTTTTTTAGTGCCCACCCGAGTATGGCTAGAGCATTCAGACCTGTCAAAAAGGACTGAAAAAAAACAAAAATTTAGTCCACACTAAACAAGGAAGGTGTGAGAGCACCATTAGAGTAAATGGAAAGCCATACCGGCACAGAAGGCATTCACATTCTCATCAAACTGGAAACGGACCACCATACGATTATGGTCGATGATATATGTTTGGCCATCCCAGGCACAGGCAACTACCTCTTCTCTCCCATCACCCTAAAATACACACACACACACACACACACACACACACACACACACACCAACCATTCAGCAGTTTACTAAACCATGCAAGAGCAGTTATGCATGTTCAAGTATCCAGAGACCGAAGCATGTGGACAGTCACTGAAACTGTTAGTGCCACTCTGCATTAAATACTATGACAAACTGGGTCTTTAAAAAGGTATTGCACTGGCCTACTTACAGTAACATCCAGTTTCTGCAGGGCAAACAGCTGATGGTCCACCTGCACTGACCACAGCAACTGCTCAGAACTGTCCATTAGCTTCAGAGTACCTGTAACAACAGCAAACAAAATATGGTCTCATGTGAGAACAAAATATATATTATTCATCTATATATAAAAGCACATATACTGAATAACCTTTGAAGGAAATAAAGAAAATTTCTGATTCCTTTGATTTTATGACTCTCAGGAGACGGAAGCAGCTTTCAGCACAAAGAGGGCAGTAACAGTCTCATCACACCCCTGAGCCCAGTGTACACTCACAGAGAAAACACAGGAGGGAGAGAAAGGGAGAGAGAGTGATAGAGCAAGAGAGAGAGAGAGAGACAGAGAGAGAGAGAATAGGCAGGAGAACAATGTGCTTTGTTTCATTCAGACACACAAAACGGCACATGTATTTGCAGTTTTCACTACATGCTGTAATGTAAATGAGAATTTGATTAATACTTTCTCCCCCAAAAAATCCACAGACTCTAATAAACAAAGAAATACCATCATCAATCTGGATATTTGCATAGCTTATTAGCCTGCCCATACCTACAACTACATGAAGAGGTTAGTCAAATGAAGGCTAATGTTGCAAACAGTAACTAAACTATGTGTTAACATAATGCAAATGATGTTATGCTAATCTGTGGCTACCAGATTCCATTTGATTTCAGCAATGTTAGCATGATCGGTCAAGCAATTCCTTTAGCATGGGTACTGGTCTTTCTGGACAGTGTTTCTACATTTAGAATAGTGTTTATTTTGGGTGGCTGTGTGTAAAAATAGCTAAATACACAAAAGCTGCATGTAAGCCCGTGACTGCCAGAGGGTTGGATGGATCACTCAGCTAATGCAATGCTACTCACCATCTAAAGTACAGAGAGCAAATAATCCTCCTTTAGAGTCATCGTCCTTCGACCCTACAGGACCAAAGAGTATAGGATGTCTCAGAAAATCTTTTAACAGTAACATGAGTAACTAGGAGTATAACAATGCATGATGACATCCGGATGTGCATGGTGGAGATGTGACAATACCTCATAGATAATGGGAATTTTATTAATTATGGCATTAAATGCCTTTGTTTGAACACTAAAGTTTGCAAAGATGGAGAAACATATAGGACACATGTATCAGTGAAAATGTATGCATCTGAGTGAAAGAGGGATTCTATGCGGTACCTCTGCTGATGCTGCCAATCAAATGGGTGGACACGTTTTTATTATGGATACGGCCAGTGGTGAGGTGAAGAATAAGGTCTCTGGAGGGCCCTTCACTGTGACAGGAGAAACAGAAGCACACAATGACTCATCAGCTGGCTTTTCAAAAAAAGAATCCTATTAAAAAATCCTATTCCAACCTGCACAGCCGCGTCCGCATCTGAATAAAACCCCCCAACAGCAGTCAACAATTATGCATTATTTTCACTTACTAATGATTTTAGGAATACATACATATAGAATTTCTATACCAAACACAATGACTGATAAAGTCTGCATCCAGCAGTTGTGGCTGATACAGATACCAATAACTAATGTATTTTTTCTAAATCTCATATATAACACTATAATCTGCACAATGCAGAAAACACAACATATGTTAAACTCTGTAAATCACCTATAATCATTGTCCTAAAACAGCTAAATCAAGCATGATAATTACTGCATTTAGCATATCGCTGTAAAAACTGCATTATTTTATGTAATCACTTTACATTTACATTCATCAGATGCTCTTATTCAGTCACTTACAATTACAGGTGAATGTACCATCAGAAGTCTTGGTCAAGAACTCTCATTGCTTTAAAGGAAAAAAAAAGATGTGTGTCCTATTAGAAAAAATGTTTTCATTTTACAGTGATTAAATTAATATAATGGGTGCCAGTAACCTGTGCACCCCTAAATGACCTCATTACTTCTTCCTAATCAATAAGCCTGGTCTCCGATCACTGAATGACAGGAATTCTCAGCTTCACTAGTTTAGAGCCACAGCATTACACAGTATAATGTTTACCCTAGGGTAATCTTTTAAATGTTACAATAGTGATAGCTGCTATTTAACTAACCCCTCTATTTTTCTTGTTAAATATTTTATTTATGAAATGACAATCATAAATGGAATGCCAAGACACGAAATACAAATAACAGTATAAAACATCTATTTTACTGTAATTATTTAGCTTTTTGTATTGTATTTATGTAGATATATATATTTACTGAAATTTAAATAACCTAAGGTACTTTATGATATAAATATAATGTTCTGTTGTCTACCAACGGTACAAAAAATTGCTTTTAAATAAGAAAAAAAGAGAGCAAGAGATTATTGCCTCTGACCAATGACATTATGAAATGGGAGGAAACAGTTCACAGGTTGAAAAATGAATGGAAAACCTCATAATGCTCAACATCGCATCTGTTTACAGGGAAAGTCCCCCCTTTAATGAAAAAAGAGCCAACTGGCTTGTTGGTAAAGCCACAAGCGGGAAATCCCTTCTCTCACTGTGGAGACACAAAGTTTTTATAAATGTTTATCAGATTTTACCAGTGATTCCAAATATGTTTTCGAAATGTTAATGTGGCTATTAGTTTCAGATTTATAGGTCTCTCTCCATTTAAAGACACAGGATCCCGGTCTTGTATAACTGCAAAAAACTGCCCAGCAGCACTAAGATGATAAGATGGCGGCCAAGTGGCCTATAAAAAGAGGATCGCAAAACCGCAACTAATATTTCCTCGATTCCTCTCTCCTCCATATTTCAGCCTATGACAAAAACCCTGAAAGTTGCTTTTTCCTACCAATCCTCTTCTTCACCTCCGCGACTCAGAAACTGATTTTGTAACGCCATCTTACTGGCTGTCCGAATACTGGAGGAGACGAATCCAATTCTACTTTAAATTCTGTGTTTTGTTTGTGTTTATATATTCCTGTACTGTGTATTTTGTACCTGGTGTAAATCGTGTTTTTGTGTTATTAGAACCAAACACACAAACTATTTATGTTACCAGTGATTTCTAATTCGTTTTTGAAACATTAATGTGGATATCAGATTCAGATTTATAGGTCTCTCTCCCTCCAAAGAGATATGAGCCAGGTTTTGTATGACTGGAAATAACTTCCTGGGGGCGTTGCCAAAATGGTCACTGAGCGGAAAGACTTTCCCGTAAAGGCTGTGACACGAGGTCCACCAGAGCCGGTTAATGAAGAGCCTGGCCTCTTACCATTTCCCCCGTTATATTAGAAACATGAGTCCAAAACACAAGAGGGCACCTGTGAGTGAGTCCGCAATGAATGGGGGCGAATGGCGCTAAACAGCTAAAAATGAAAAGTTAAAATAGTTTTTAATCACTTGTCCAGAAGTTTCTTTTAATTTTAAAAAGTAGAAGGATGTATTCCACTGAAAAAGCAAAGAAAACATACCTGTATTTTTCCTTTTTTCTACAGCAAATGGGTTTTGGGCAGCAGGACGCTAGCAATACGGCTAGCAAGTGCTGAGTGGCTGGAACCACTCATTGGCTGTTTCGCGCTTAGTGACGTCATGAACGTACATGAGGTGTCGTTTTAAATCGCCCTCTAGCGATCGAGAAACCCGGAAGACATTACAGAGCTAAAAATTCTCCTCAATACTGGTTCTCTGAGTCCACTCCACCACTTTGCTCTCACCCAGTTGAAGCGTTTGAGCCGTCCTCTCCAGGACCTGCAGCACCCTCTTGTGTCCAGGAGCAGAGCAGGATGGCATAGCCACAGCCAGGCTGAGATACCATGAGTTCAGGCAGACCCTCTGGACCTGGATTCACAGACAAACTGTCCACCTGTAGGAAAAAAGCTTTCATTAATGTGATGTGCAGAGTACTGAGTAAATACCAACACTGGTCCAACAGTAACTATTCTCTACTTCCATATAAGAAGAATTTTACTAGCATTTTTCATATAAGTATATTTCTGGACCAGCAACACATCTGAAATTGACAAACCAGCTTTTCCTTTTCTATGGACACAACCATGATCATTATAATAATGAAAGGGCAGCAATTCTGCATTTAAAGATTTTATGAGTCAACTTTATTGAACAGTGTGCATGGAGCAGAGTGCTGATGGAGTTGGAGCATCAGTACCTGTCCCTCCAGGAGCCATTTCTTCAGTAAGACCAGCTGACCTCCACTCAGGTCAGCGGCATCTTGTGGCTCCTCCCATCGGAACGCTCGGACTACCCGGTCAGTGTAACCAACGACAAGCTCATTGCGTCCATCCCCATCTAACACACAGACAAGCCCACAGATCAATAAACCCACACATTCAACTGTAACTTAGACTTAAGCAAGACGTAACTTAACTTGTAAATACCTGACAGGTCAGAGTGAAGTGACACTCACCAATATCACTGATGAGCATGACTTTGGTGTTGGCAGGGATGTGCTGGGTAAAGCAAGGCTTTTGCTCGTCCATATCCATCTGGCTGGACGACTCAGCTTTGCCCGCAGAAGCAGCAATATCAAACAGGTGGAACCATCCTTCTGCACCTACTGCCACTACAAGGTTCTAGAAAGAAAAACAGCCCTCAAAATTTAAATATGAGGCAAACGTTTTATAATGTCATACTTTGGTGAACAGAAGACCACCTCCACTAACTTACTTTGCCTTTATTGCAGAGGTCTCCTACTCCAACACAAGTTAGCTAAAAAACAAAACTCAGTCATTAATAGTTTGCATTTAAAATGGGCTTGAGATAACAGCCATTACTGATTTTATAGGGCAGGGAGAAATGAAATGAGATCATAATTTTAAATCATTTTCAAAACTAAAACCTTTTTCTCAACAGAGGCATATGTGTTTTGTATTGGGCAAGCTCATTATTTTGCCTACAGAATTTAAATGTGCCAACATTTGTTTCTTTATGGTAATTCTTATTCCATCCTGAGCAATACACACCATTCCCACGCATGTTCTTGTGATCCAGGGCTTGGATTCATCGTTCTTATAGATGTATAACTTCCCACTCGTGTCGCCAACAACAAGTTCATTCAACTAATGGAGAAAATCAGAGTGAGATAATACAACAGCAAGGAAAATCTGAGCTGACAACATTGTAGTAGCAAGGGGAAAAAAAACGATACAAGAGATTTGGATTATTCATGTCTATGTTGGAATGTTACAGCAGAATTACACCAATTCTTCCCAACTTCCGCATAATAAAATAGCTAAGATGTAAGTCATTCAGAGTGGTTTAATGTGAAAAGTTTACATTCTATAGAAACATACCAAGTCAATTCAAAGTCGTGCTGCTAGGATCCAGAGATCTGAAGAGTTTAATGCCTCCAAAAGCTCCCACACAGAAAGTTATTACATAAAATGGTTATAAATATGCTGCTTGATGCCTGAGACTTAGTTTTACAATAGTTTTGAGATAGGGTTTAGGCATAAAACAGATTTTTCAAAAGCATTCAGAGGTACATGCAGGGCCTTGTGAGGTAAATAGTTCCCAATTATAACTTTTTTTAAAAATAAATAAATGAAACATTGATAATATACGTTACGTTTAAATATAACGTATTGTTGACATTGTGACCCCTGTTTCCCATCAACACCACTGTAAAGTCTGTAAGATCCTCTGCTATTAACCATTTCACATCAATCCACTCTGAATAACTTTGTGTACATCTCAACAACTAAATTATACTGAAATTCAGAAAGATCAGTGGAACTGCCCTTTACATGAAGAGTTCACTATTTCTTCTCAAAGTGACGACATATAGAAACTCACATTACAGCCCTATTATTTCATGAATTATACAACGTATAATTCATAACATTTGCATAACATTGCTTCATTAACATTATATCAGTTTCTAAAGACAATTTGGCTGTTTTGTTCTAGGGCCTGTGGAGCCCACATACTGAAGATAGTTCTTCAAGTGTTCCTTAGTAAAGGTCAATGGTTCTATTTAGAATCATGAGTTCTACATAGAACCATTTCATGGTTAAAGGGTTCTTGGCATATGAAATGGTTCTTCAGATTGATGAAGAATGTACTGTATTTGGTTCTATAGTGAACCTTTTTAAAAATGGGTCTGTGTAGCACCAAACGAGGTTCTTCTGTTGTTACAAGCTTGACATTGTAACAACAGCAAAACACCATTTCGGTGAACCGTTTTCAAAAAGGTTCTGCACAGAAGCATACACCGCACATTCTCCATCTAAAGAAACCTTGAAGAACCTTCTTCTTTTTTAAGTGTGCACGGAATGTAATCTGAATATCTTCAATATCTTTTACCCACATCAACTCACCGAGTCATTATCAGCATCTCCGAGGCAGATAGCATGTGGGAACAGAGAGCCCGTGAAGTCGAGACACACCCGCTGAACAAAACTGAGGGAGCGCATGTCTTTATCTCAGACCCGCCGACTCACACAGTTAACCCGCTCAGGCAGACAGGCATCTCTGCGTCCTTTACACAGAGAACACAGCTAAACCAGCCAAATAAGCGAGAATATGACACGGGTAACAAGATTAAGTTACACTACGACATCGTCAGGCACGACTTTTTCACATTTTATTAGTTACAGCCAAAGTGCTTCACAGCTAACTTTACACTTCCGACACAGCAACTCACTGTAAACACAGCGCACAGCGCACGAGGCGTGAACACGGGCTACAGTGTGGAAAACCGTTACCAGAGGTCTCTTTCAAAATAAAGGCCCGTAAACTTTCTATAATAAAATGTAGAATCATGCAAAAAAATAATAATAATAATAATAAAGATAAAAGATAAACACGGAGTAAAATTAAACAAAAACATAACACTTGATCTACATACCATATCCATATTCACCATGCTGAATATAAGATTAATCATGAAATGGATACAGATGAATCTGGATGGCATCAAATAAATAACTGAACAGCACTGATTACCGTGCACATCTGGGAAGCATCGAATTAAAGCCTAGCAGTTCTCCACAGATCTACCTATCATTTATGCTGCTGGAATGTTTCCACCCTGCAGGGTTACTGGAGCCCAGACGTTCAAAATACAGTCTTTATGGATTCACCGGTCGACATCTTTGCTGTATTCCAGTACCCAGAGGTCCCCAACGGCTGCATTGGGAATCCCTGCTGTAGCTCACTCACAGCTGACCTCCAGGTGGCAGTAGATGACCATTCAACTTTCCCCTCATTCATGGGAGCTCTGAATGCTGCAGTGCTGTTTCTGAGTTCCACACTCCTGTAATCCACCTACATTGAGCAGTTTTATGTTTTCCTGCACTAACACAGGAATTCTCAACCAGTCAGCTATGGGTCACAACTTGGGCTGATACTGAGGGGGAGCAAGTGGTCTGTAGTGGGCCATCAATGGCACTTTGTAATAAACATCAATGAAAAAATAATTTGCTTAATAATAAGAATGAAATACAAACTGTTTTCAGAAGGTTGGCAATTCTCAAGCTCTGGAACAACGCTGCACAAAGCAGTTTCAACTATTTTTTGCTCTTTGACTCTGGAAACAAAATACATTCAATCGTCCACTTCAGTAGTAGTCCACCTGAGAACTGGAGATCAGCCTTTCACACCACTGTGGAGGAATTCTGGCCCACTCTTCTTTGCAGAATTGCTTTAATTCAGGTCCTGCCACAGCATCTCAGTAGGGTTTAAGTCAGGACTTTGACTCAGACACTCCAAAACCTTAATTTTGTTTCTTTTGAGCCATTCAGAGGTGGATTTGTTCTCGTGCTTTGGATTGATATCAATTCTGTGTGAGCTTCGGATCAGAGAGTGATGACTGGACATTTTCCTTCAGGACCTGGTGGACAGCAGAATTTATGGTTCCATCAATTATGGCAAAAGTGCAGCAACACGGATCCCAACAAAACAAAAAAGAGAGCTCATATCACCTGTTTTGAAACAACTTCACTGTCCACCTGTACCTTTTAGGAAAGACTTTAAAGTTCTGCTGTTAATTTTTAAGGCTCCAAGGGACCTTAAAACGCCGGCTTACATCACAGAATATCTGTCTGTTTATGTTTCAGCACATGATCATAGATGTGCAGATACTGGCCTTCTGTAAATACCTTCCCGTGAAATAGAGAAAACGTGGAGAGGCCTCTTTCTAACCCTGTGGAACTCCAATCTTTCTTTTATTAGACAGTTAAGCTCAGTGCACACTTTAACATTTGAAAACATGTCTCTTTAAACTTTGCATTTAATTAAAATTCTACCTCTCTTTTGGTTTTTATGATTTCAATTTGATTTGTCTGCCTAATATGATTTGAATTAAATACTCATAATGTCTTCCTGTTAAGCTTTACTACCTATCTGTAAAGCACTTAGAGCTGCCACCTGTATGAAAAGTGCTCTACAAATGATTATTATTATTATTATTATTATTATTATTATTATTATATCACACTACCACCATGTTTGACTGCTTGTATTGTGGTGTTTTCCTGGAATACTGTGTTAGCTTTATGCCAGATGTAAAAGGAGACAGAAAACTCATCGGTCCCCAGAGCAATATTCCAAAAGGCTTTGGGGAATTTTTGTTCTTCTTGGTTAGCAGTCATTTTTCAACTTGCAACTCTCCAATGAAAATTTCTTAATGATCATTTAGAAAATGTATTTTATGCTTACTTAGGTTGTCTTTGTCTTACATTAAATTTTGTTTCAGGATTTGAAACAATTAGGTGTGATAAATGTGCAAAAACAGAAAAAGTCAAGACGGGCAAATACCTTTTAACAGCACTGTAGCTGGTGCAAACAGCCCCAAGGCCCAGGGTTGATGCATCATAAAGTATTACATAAGAACTGGGCCGTGGTAACCCAGCCCTCACCCTAGTCATGGCTAGGCCAAAAGTGTATTAATAGGTTGTTTGTTTTTCCCCACACATTGTATTCCTTGGAAATAGTATGAATCCTGAGTTTGAATTACGGATCATGTGCTTTAACCAGTTTCACAGATGAAAAAGAAAGAAACTCACCTCTCTACAAAATAAAAGCATGAAAGAATTCCTAGGGATGATGCCATAAAAGTACTGTCTTCAGTTCTGTACATAACCTTTCAATGTATGGTTCTTTAACCCCTTAAAATCTCCGGCTTATTACATACCACGGCTTATTATTCAGAAACTACAGGGACTTCAGTGCAAACTGGCTGAGCTATTGTTGTGTTATAGAAGTGCCTAATAAAACTTTGGGCCTGCTGGTGGGCTGTGGCCATTTAAGGGGTTAAAAAAATCAGTGTTGTAGATGAGATATGAGAGTGAAGAATGTTTTAAAAAGTTCTACAGAAAATAAAGGTGCTATACTAAATAAAGGGCAATTCCAACTGATTTTTCAAAAATTGTTCCTTATTCAATCAATGAGATGTAAAGTCATTTTTATGTGATGTACTTCACTGTAGAGAAACTTCACAATTTACACTGGTTATGATAGGAAACACAGGCTTTGATGTCTACAAATAAAGCCATTTTATTCAATTTACTTATTATCCAAAACCACCAGTACACCTACAAGTTTGTATATCTAATGTTAATAATGGCAAAATTGTGATCAGTAGGAAAAAATAAGTTTTTTGGGGGGATACTTTTGCTTTACAGCACCCTGCACATACCTCTCCACCATAAATGGATTTTAAAAATGAGTCACCACCACTGTGAACAATTCTGACTCTGTAACTTTCTCTAGAACAGAACATTTCACATCAAACCACTCTGAAATACTTTATTTACATCTTAACCATTGAAATTTTGAAAAAGTCTGTGTTTTTTTAAGAGTGTAGGTCACATGATCCAGACTAGTGATGCAGACCTGGTGAAGGCTTTTAAAGCTGCAGCCCGTGTGCAGGATCTCTGCAGGGTGTCTGTGTTATGATGAGGTAATGGTGGCACAAACAAGTGAAAAGTGAATGAGGGTGTTAATGTTGCTCACAGCTCGGCGCAGGAGAGAAACTAGGGCACCCTGTCCCAGATGGAAAAGTGACAATGAACGGTTCAGAGTCTGAGTGGAGTGTGGCAACAGGGTAACATGGAGTGTGTGTGTGTGTGTGTGTGTGTGTGTGTGTGTACGTACACAACATCGACATCCTGCAGATTTCACAGAAGCTTGAAGGCCTCTTGAGACTCAAAAGTATTATGCAATACATCCGAGGACATTTTCAGATTTCAGTGAAGGATTCACATTTACATGTTCAGGGCAGGTCCATCTCAGTGGGGTAGAGTGCGAGAGATGATCATTTAGACTCTGAGTTAAGGGAATTAAGGTGTTAAAGGGCCAGTATCCTACACTTGTGGTGTATTTTAATTTGTACCCTGTATGCCAACTGTATGCTAATTTTTAAAATCCATTCATGGTGGAGAGGTATGTGCAGGGTGCTGTAAAGCAAAAGTATCCCCCCAAAAAACGTATTTTTTCCTACTGATCACGATTTTACCATTATTAACATTAGATATACAAACTAGTAGGTGTACTGGTGGTTTTTGTGTGGTATCATGTACCACAGTTGTCAGTTTGGCAACACCAAAAAGTTCATAATTCATTTTTACTCAACCATTTTCCAACGTTTTTTATCTCTTAGAATTAAACAGGCTGTTTTTGTTGCTGTGTTTTTGATATAAAATATGATATAAAATAAATGAGCTCAGTGCTGATTGGCTTTCCTGTATTGTACCTTATTAAAAACGCACATGTTGGTGTTGTCACCTCAAGTTTTTCTCTTATGGGTGAGTTTGAAACTGCTCTTTTTGTTGCTCGTAAGCTGACACTGTCGAGCATCCGACAAGAAAATGTAAAAATATGTACCATATTTGTATTTCTGTTTTGTTTAAAATATGAACGGGTCATAAGTTTACAAGTTCACTAGTTTCTCTTCCATATTTTACACGATACTATTGGGAACAGGAACGAAATGCCGGTAGGAACAAAAGTTCAGAGAGCAGTGGCTGTGGATTTTGTTTGACGCAATCGGTTAGACTGTTGCTTCACTGCATAATAGTTCATTTGTGAAAATTTCAACTTGACTTGTTGCTTGTCGCTAAATAGTGCCTACAAATCACACACTTCCACAGGAAATGACTGGACAGCTGACACTTTGTTGTCTGATGGTAAGAATTGTCAACTTTAATGTTATTAGGTGGAGCTAAACTGCTACAGATTGAATAGCTGGATCTATACTATATGGTCAGATGTATGGGGACACCCTCCTAATTTTTTGAGTTCATGCATTTCAGCCACATCCATTGCTAACAGGTGTATAAAATCAAGCATGGCTATGCAATCTCCACAGACAAATACTAGCAGTAGAGCTCAGTGACTTTAAACATGGCTCTGTCATAAGATTCCACATTTGCTAGGCAATTTCTGCCCTGCTAGATCTGCCCTGTAATTATTGTGAAAGGGAGGTGAATAAAATAGTTTTTTCATCCCAGCAGGATATTTTCTAGCTTGGATTGGAGCTACACAATTATTTCGGATTAATTGTCATTGCCGTGTTGACCTTTGCCGACTTGTCACAGACTACAATATGCAAATTAGCCCTTTAAACCTAACCTCAAATCAAAATTGACCTCATACCTTACCATTTCAAAGACAAAATTGTTTTCTTGCAATATTGATTGAAGTGTAGTGACTTTTGGCTGTCTCTAAAATG